CCGATGATGGGGAAGGGCAGGGGCTGCCGTCCGTGCTTGGTTCGCGAGCCTTGAAACGGGTGGTTGATGAAGGACTAAACTTCCTCGAGGAAAAGAAAACACGCTCCGGCAAACACTGAAATGTGACTATCCGAGCTGTTAAAGGAAATAACATTTTAATTGGGTGAATCTGTTATGCACAAATGTTACAGACGATAAAACTCCTGCTAAATAGAAACCCAGTAATGAGATGAACCTGTTGAGGGAACAAATTGCCTGCAAATCACAAACAGGCTTCTCAGGTGCCCCAGCAGCTTTGGGGCTTCCATGATTTTGCTTGGCTGAAGCTCAAGCCGCCCCACAGCGCTGGAGCCTTCTGGCAGCATTTCCTCACGACAGCCACCCATGCAGAGTTGTGGTCTGCGGGAGGAGTGCGGGTAAGCATTAGCGAACTGTAGAAACAGCTAGAACTTTGCCTTTCAGAGCTTTCTGTGGCTTTTGGCTGGGTTAGATGTGTGCAAGAACTAACTGTGGGCTGGGTGCCAGGTTGGCAGCAGGGGTTCTGGTAGGATGTCAGTGGAAAGGGGTGTTGGGAGAGCATCCTGGTTCCAGCTGGTGTGCTGGGACTCCAGTGAGAAAAGTGCCTGGCCTGCCCTGGTGTGATTCTGTGTGCTGCTGTATTGCTTTGGATATGTTTTGGCCTTTAAAATCCCCGTAACTAGTGCCACCTGAGTTTGCAAAAGAGATTTGGCGAACTCCCTGTTGCTCGTACACCAGCCCTGCTCTGGGGGCGATGCCTGCTCCTCTCTTCCTGGGGATAGCAGCGTCCTGTCTGAAGCAGCTATTTCAAGTCCTAGTCCCAGCTGTATTTCATGTTCCACCATATGTGGATGCTACAAGCAGTGCAGAGCCAGCTTTGAAGAGCAGCAAGGAACATCCCCCTGCTCTGATGAGCAGTTATTTGTAAGACAGGGAACCTCATCTTTGTCCTCTGTCTCATCCGGGCGTAGGGCACAAGTGCTGCTGGAGCCTGAACTCTGCACGCATGGGACTTGCTCTAGGAATACTTCACCTCTGTGTTTAAATACCGTACAAATGCTGTACTCAAAGGAGTGGAGAGAGGCATCCAACTCTTACCTCTCCAGTTTCTGGATCTATTTGATCAGAACACAAATGCAGCTGTACCTTCCTAAGGAAGCTGCTGGACCTGATTGCAGGGGGAGATCAGAAACCGTGGTGCAAATGTACTTTAGTGGCTCAGAAAGTATAAGGCAAGCAAAAGCCTCTCCTGCTTCCCCCATTTATTTTTCAAATCTCTTCAAGACCAGTGTGATAATTTTGGAGGCCTGGTTCATGCTTGGGGGTGATGCTCCTGTGTGTTTATTCATCAGCTCACACCTGCCTCTTGGGGCAGATCTTGGGCCTCTTCAGGGACTCGGTGAGCTTCGTTCCCCCCTTTGCCTCTCACTTGCTGTCATCTGCTGGAGATGAGGACACTTTTTAATCTAATTTCGCAGCTGCCACTTGTGGGTGCAGTGAGTGTCGTGCTGAGCCAGCTAGATCAGGAAGCTAGCGGTGCTGTGTTCGTAGTGTGAGTAACTTCTTTCATTCGCTTATGCAGAGGACACTGCTGTTTGTGACCTCCTGGTTGGCAGGCCCTTACGCCTGAGCACACTAGAGCCACCGAGAACCAGCTGCGGGGCAGGAGGCAGCGGGGCTAAATACGACTGCTTTTTGATGGACAGTTTTAAATTGCTCTATTCAGACCATCATCTCACAAGTAGCTGCTGTCATTTTCTTCCAAATAGCTACCTTCAGGCTACTTGGAGAGGTCAGGCTGCAGAGGGTGGATGCTCCAGGGAGGCGGGAAGAGCTTTCTCTGTATCTGGTGCCAAGGACAAGGGTACTGAACAAAAACCTGCAGACCAATGAATTTGCTGTCACTCTTCTCCTTCTGTGAGTTCAGCGCCTCTAGAAACTGTCTTTGAAGTTTAATTTATGAGCTGGCAGGTGAAGGAGCTGAAGGCAGGGCAGAACCATCTAAATAAAAATTATTTGGAAGCAATGAGCAGGGGGTGCATGGTAGACGAGTTGGGATCTTCAGGTCTAACAGACACATCTAACTGGGTAAAATGGTGGTGTGGCTCAGTCTGGGTCTCCGCTGCCCGTGTGATTTGTGTTCCAGCGGTATTGCAAGGATCAGTTTTTACTGGAGTCCCATCCCTGAGCCCACCCAACTCAACCACCTTGTAGTGCAGAAGGCCCAGAAACATGAGTTTCCAAAAATTACTGCACCAGGGCACTTCTCACTACTGCATTGCTGGCGATGACGCTTGTCCTAAATGACTCTCCCGCTGGCTTCCCCCATGCCTCCGTCCATACAGGTTTGTTCTCTGAGCAGCCCCGTGAGCTGAGCTGGACCTCCAGCCTTTTGCTGCCAGGGTGGCTGAGCTGCCGGAGCCGTGTCTCCCACCACTAGATAGTGCTAGGCCACCACAGGGAGCCGTGGAGCCGGCAGCCATACCGGCTGATGGTGTGCACGTTGCTTAAAAGCATTAATAAGCGAGTGCTGCGCTGGGGCCGTGCGTGGACAAGGGCTCGGCGTGGCGCAGATGGCAGCTTGTGTGCCGAGCTGCCTGCTGCAGGCGAGCGGCTGCCGGGGAGGGCAGGATGTGGTGCCGCTCTCCTGCCTGTGCCTGGTCCTTGCAAAGCACACGCTGGGATGATTTTTCCCAGTGTCTGAGTGCCATGGAGTGGTTATGTATCTTTATTGCTCATGAGCAGCTGTCTCAGTCGCTGCTAATGGACTGTAATACACACAGAGCTGACCCCAAAATGATGTCTTCACAGAAATTGCCTGTCTGTGGAGCTTCTGCTGTAAAAGCCCAGAAGCACTGGGCTGGGTGAGTTACTGTCATCTGCAAAGTGTGTACGTGAGGGGTCTCTGGGTGCTTCCCCTTCTCTGAGCCTTTGCTCTTCAGCTCGTCTTTCAAAATCAGATATCTTGCAGGATAGAGGGACCGAGGGAAATAAGAAGGACTGCTTCCCTTTTGTCTGCTGGCGCAGGACCCTCTCCCCTCCACAGCGGTCCCTGCAGTGCTGATAGGCACTGCTCTGAGCAGAGGGCATGACTTGGTGGAGAGGACAGAGTGGGGCACAGGGGGTCCCTCCTTGGGCCCTGGCAGGCAGTGAGTGCGAGCGGTCTGCGCTCCACAGCCCCCGGTTCTCACCAACCCTGAACTGAGCCAGAACTAGCTGCCCCGAAGCCTGGCTTCCCCCGCAGCTGTGGCATGGATGTAAAGGCTGCTTGGGGGCTCACTATAACATCTCACCATAGTGAGCAATTTCCCTACTGATTCTGCTCCCTCTGTGTTTGCATGGGGATCTTGCCTCCCCGTCTCGTTCCTCAGCTCATCAGCTATTCATTGATCTTTGCCGGGCTTCTCCAGCACTCATTCATCACTCTCGCGTCTGCCATCCACTTTCCAAATGTTTCCTATTTTTCCAGTGATGTATTTCCCTGTTCAGACAAGCTAATCTTGCGCCATCGATAATTGGGGCGCAGCTGTGCTCCTGACCGCTGTGCACAGCACGGGCACATGGCTCTGCCCTGCATGGACGGAGGCAGCCGAGCTGCAGGGACACTGGGTGAGTGGTGCAGGTGCAGGGGCCTCCTGGGAGCCACTTCCCTGGCTGCTGGGTATCTGCTGTGGGAGGTCATCCCTCCCCTTGGGGACTTCGAAGCGTGCAGATGGAGGTGATGCCCTCAAGGCCAGGAAGGGCTGTTTTCCCATGCCTGGGTGGGGGGCGATGGTCTTCGAGAAGGTGAGGCAAAGCCCTGAGGCTGAGCAGCCTTGCTTGAAAGGGGCTGGCTTTGTGGTCTGCTCTGGGATGCCCGAAGCCTTGTCTCTCTGCCACAACCTGGCGTGGCCTTTGCGAGCAGCCTTGGTGGGCAGAAAACTGGGGAAACATATCGGCATCACAGCGTCTGCTTCTGGCTCATTCCACGCTGCTGGTGTTCAGTGTCCCTGCAAGTGACAGCTTTATTTGTGCCACCAGCATCAAGAGGATGAGCCACGCGTCAGGCATGGGTGAAATGGCTGATGCCCTTGTTCCCTCGCAGGAAATGCAGGCACTATAAATTACTTCTTTCCTCTGGCTTCTGGGTGTCTGCAGGCCGCTGCAGCTGTCAGGGTGATGTATTCAGCACCAGCTAAACTGACCAGCCTTTGTGTCAGCATTTGGGCACTGTCAGCACCTCTGGAACGCACCAGCATGGAGCAAACCCAGGCTTTGTTGCTTATTCAGGTGTTCTTGGTTCTTTCCAAAATGGGGACCCTGCTGCTACACTGAGCGACTTTGTGCAAAGACTCAGTGCCAGGAACTGTGTGCGCAGTGGGTGGGGGGATGCGGCATCAGGACCGATGGCAATGGTGAGCGCCTGGGACACTGCAAGCTGTCTGCTGAGATGCATTGTAAAAATACACTCATCACCAGTTAGGACATGCTGATTAGACAAATAGCTTCTGCT